AATATCCATACGTTACTTGGCAAGAAATTGCTCGTTAATTTGATTATCTACCCTCAATTTTTATCTGTAGTACTTCCAGAGTAAAAATGGTAAAACTCTAAGATTGGGATCTAGTCATGGGATAACTAAAGCACAAAGTCATTCAACAAGTTAAAAGCTCGTTTGTTACACTTGTGTCCTCGCCTCCTGTTGGTGGAACTTACGAATCATCAAGGAACAGAACCCAGAATCTTTTTGTGAATTTCTCTTAGTTGACTGTTAGTGTTTGAGATACTTCTATTTATCCTTAACTAGATACGTTTGTAGGAGATTAACGGCGACTAGTCTCCTGCTAATCTCCTGTCACATCTTGATTGGTAACTACTAAAATATTTAACCAATCCAATAACTTAATCTTATCCAAATTCTTGATTTATTTGTAAAGAAGTCATCTAAACTTATAAATAGAATTACAAAATAAAAGAACTTACTTTGCCATAAAAACTTTTTGCTTGTGGAGAATAAACTATATGTTTTATCGAAATATTAGAACCCTATAAATACAGGTTTTATGAGCAATTAAAGGAAATACATTTTAATTACAAACTTCGATATATTACTAGTATATCTTTTATCTTACTTACTATACATTTTAACTTCACAACACTCCTCAAACTGGTAAATAGATATTACCCGGCTTGGCAATAATGATTTGAATCTCGAGATTTAGTCAATACATCTACAAGTTGTGAAGTAGTGGATATGTAAGGTATGCATATCAAGCCACTATCCAGTTTATCCTTAATGAAATGTCTATGAACTTTAATATGCTTGGTTATGTCGTATTGTAGTGGATTGTGTGGAATACTAAATGTTGAACTATTGTCAAGTGAGGTCTTGTAGGTCCGGTCCCATTCAATTCTTAAGTCTTCTAGAATCATCTTTAAGCATAAAAGTTCGGAAATCCTTAAGCCATGACCCTGAATTCTGACTTTGAACTACAATGAGTTACCACATTTTGCTTCTTACTTCTCTAAATAATTAGGTTCCTTCCAAAGAAAATACAATATCTTTTAGTCGATCTCTAATCGACTAATAGTCTAACATAATCCGCATCAGTGTAGGCTTTAAGAAGTATATCAATTTTCCAGCTAACCTCTGGTAAATATTCCTATCAGCATTTGTGTCTTCTTATGCCAGTTCTAGCTTATGATTGGGACAAATCGGGGTGCCAATAAGCTTGTATGCCAACTTACCAGTTCCCACACTTTTGTTGTGAGATGAATACCCTTGCCTTTTAGTAGGCTGCTTCTATTTTAGGAAAATATTTTAATTTCAAAAATTTTTTAATTTCAAACTATTTGACCAGATATTGCTAAGTGCCAAGTTTTCTCCTTCGTCATTTCCTGTTATAATGATATCATTCCATATGCTTGGAGGACTATGACTCCTGAATCTAATTGTTTAATAAACAATATATGATCTCCCTAACTGTCTACCCCATGGATAACATAACGTTCAAAATTTTCGAACCATACCTGGGAAAACTATTTGAGCCTATATAATGCCTTTTTTTAACTTACATACCTAGGAGGAATTTCAATATAAAATTCTTCCTCCGATTTCTCCATGTAGGAAGACATTTTTTAATCAGATAATTGCGATTGCCAATTAAAATTTGTAGCCAAGGACATTAATACATGTATAGTGTTCATCTTGCAACTGACAAGATTGTCTTTTAGTAATCAATCCCATAGGTCTAAGTATATGTCCTTTGGCTACCAATTTTATCTTATATTCTCTACTGTTCCATTGGGTTTATACTTGGTAGTCAACACCCACTTATATTGGTCTATTTCCTTTAGGTAAGTCTATCACTTTCCATGTTTGATTCTTTTAAAGTGTTTGCATTTCAACATTCACATTATTTCTCAATTCCTTATAGTTTAAAGTCTCAAGCAATGTTTTAGGGGATGGACACTACATTATACTTAATGCGAAGTTTCTAGTGAGATGATTAACATTTTTCAAAAGAGACAAAGTTTGACATTGGGTAGAAAGGCTGCTTATTCCATTCTCTTGTCCCTTTTCTAAGTGCAACAGGTATATCATTACCAGAAGAAAGGTGATTCTCAGTGCTTACCTTATTCCAGGGCTTGGCTTGGATCCTTGAACTTGTTTCAAATCAAAGTCCAAGTTTTTTCTTCTCGAATGCGCTTGGGAGAGGTGTGGGTCTTGTATGGCTTGAGGTTCAGGCTCAATTTGTGGTGCTTGAGGTTCAAGCTCATTTTCTGGACTTTGGTTTTCCAGTGAGGTGGTTGTTTTAGAGGGTCTAGTGTTTAAGGTTAAAGGAGGAATATTAAAAAACGAGTTTTTCTTATCTTTTAGTTAGTCTCTCCCTAAAGACAAGGTTGATGAAAGAATAACTTAATCTAAACAAAGGTAATATCAACGGATACATAAAACTTTTTGGATAGATGGATGATAACTTTTGTATCCTTTAAAGACATACTTGATGGCCTTGAGGTCAAAGTTTTCCTCTTTGAGACGGATGTATGTGAACATAGGAAACATATCCAAAGATATGAGAGATGATGTTATTGGTGATTTGGACATCAGGAAAAAATCTAACTATAACTTTCATAGGACTGCAGAAGTCTAGCTATTTATATGGTAACCGGTTGATAAGATAGTTAGCAGTTAAAACAACTTTCTCCCATAAGTATTTGGGTACATATTTTTAAAATAAAAAGGCACGCGTCGTGGTAAGTGGCTATTTTTTCATTATATTACTCCATTTTGTTATGGAATATAAACACAAAAGGCTTCATGAATAATTCATTTCTTTTGGAAGAATGAGGATAATGTCTAATTAAAGTAGTCTCGTGCATTATTAGTGTGAATTGTAAACCTAACAGTGTTTGATTATAGTGTGAACTTGGGAATAATATGACTAAGTTCAATTTTAAATTTCAATAAGAAAAGTTAAGTTACTTGAGTATAATCATCTATAAAAGAAACAAACCATTGACTCCCATAAATATTAGGAATATTTGAGGGACCCTAAATATTTCTTTATATAAATTGAAAAGGAAATTACTTTTATTGTTAGGAAAAAAAATTGCACGTTTGTATTTTACCATTTCACATACATCACAATGTAAGTTTTCGTTTTTGCAATTAGAAAATGAAGAGAAAACATAACCTTAAGCGTATAAAAAGAAGGGTGTCCTAGTCTTTCATGATAAAGACATAACTTATTTAATGTGCTGGTAGAGAGGGTGGCACGAGGTAGTTTAGGTGTACCTAGGATGTACAACCCATGCCGAGTCTCAGCACGTCCAATCCTCCTCCTTGAGTTCTGCTTTCTTTGGCAGTAGATATTACCTCATTCAGGGATGATATCTCTTCTTTCCCCAGGATCTGAGCTCTCATCTGATGATATTTTTCATTGAGTTCTGGTATAAATTGATATCTTATTTTTCTCAACTAGCTTTTGCAACATTGCTGCGTCGTTGCTGCACCACATAGTAAGATTTTGGTATTGATCAAGTTCTTGTCACCGGCTCTTCAAAAGAGTAGCATATTCTGTGATTGATTTGTTTTTCCTGTTTGGTTGTTTAGACTTTGACAATTAGGTTATAAACCTGGGTTGCATCCTTTTCCCTACAGTAGGTGCTTTTGTTTGAGTTCCAAACGTCTCTTGTTATAGGCAGGGACATAATACTTTTAGCTACTTTTGGCAACATATAATTCCAGAAATTAAGCCATAATCATCGAGTCTTATTCATCCCACGCATTAAAGGTTCGATCTCTAGTTTTGGTCCAGTGCCAACAAGATGACTGAGTTTTCCTTTTCCTTTAATAGTAATCCAGATCAATTGTAACTAACTCAAATAATTCTTATCAGTGAAGCAAGAAGCAGCCTGAACTGGCTGAAATTCACTATTAGTTTGTGTGGAATTTCTCATGTGAAGATTTGTACCAGTGATTTACAATGTTACCTCAGACATAGTTCACGATTTCTTAGGAAATTGAGGCTAAAAACAAACTTACTTGAAGGAGATTACCAGTTGGAGAGAGTAATGAAAGATTGCTAGCTAGTGGTAGGACTTGTGCTGCTACTGGGACAAAATGCCCTTAGAGCTGGCGGTTGGAAGAGTGGCACACAGGTTGGCACATGACTGTTTCTGGACTGGATCTGGCTGGACAAGGGTTGCACACAGGGTGGCGTGCGGCTGCAGGCTGGCAATTGCAGGGAGCAGCAGCTGGAGTCTGATAGAGTGGTGCACTTAGGGTAGCGTGCAACTTGGGAACCAGTGGCTGCAGGGAGCAGCGACCAGGCTGGACTGCTTCTAGCCATGCGGTAGGAGGCTAGAGCTGGCAATCAAAGTTGGTGTTAGGGTTGGTGGCTGGTCTAATGGTGGCCGGCAGTAACGGCTCGCTCTCTTGGGTTTTTGTCTTATTTTAGCAATGAAGGCTGATTAGGGTTTGTGAAAGAATCCTAGGGTTTTTTTTTTGAACTCTAATACCACATGAAGAGTAAAGTATATGATGTAATGAATATTAGGACCCTGTATGTACAATTCTATGAGTAATAAAAGGAAATACACTTAATTACAATGAGATGAGTACATTACTAATATACCAATTTACCTTAATATTGATAAGAATATTTTATTGCCTAAATGACCGTGATATTTTAATTATTGTAATTATTTAAAATCTCTATTATAAGAGAAAATTTTTTATTTGTTCTTAATAATTCTTGTATTAATATGAGTCCTTTGTAATACAAAACATATAATGAAAAATAAAGTAAATATTTTTTTATAAAATTTCTACATGATTTCAGAGCAGAGTAAGGGTATTTTAGGGTTTTATTTTAAAGATTTCTTTCAAACACTAGAAACCTTTCTCACCAGCCA